GTAAAAGTACACTTGATTTCAATTCAAATGGAGTCCAGTGGTTTTCTTTCCTGATTACTGAATGAAGTAATGCTGACACCCAAGCTATGCAGTCCCAGGGAGGGAAACAGGAACATTCAAGGAGCGTGGATTTGTTACAACTTGCTGCAATACTCTCCTCCCGAAGGATGCTTCGGCTGCGGCATAGGAGTCAATGTGGTAGTGTTTGATGAATAAGGATGGAGAAGTACAGGTGGCTGCCCGGCATATTTCCTCCACAGGGGCCTGAGTCGCCCACGCGGCTGGTGTGGCAACGCTTTGTGTTGAGTGATCTATCACCCTGGATGGCACCACCTTGCCCTGCTGCATGTAGGCCAACTTAATGCAAGCTTTCAGCCAGCGAGCTATAGTAGGAGAGACCTTCTGCCCCATTGAGCCTGGCTGAAAAAAGATGAAGAGTGCTTTGGAACGATGAAAAGACGCTGTCCGCTTGATGTACCTGCGGACCCTATGCCTCACATCCAGCTTGTGCCAGGTGTGCTCTCTGGGATGCCAAGGGTGAGGGCAGAAGTTAGGGCGCACCACTTCCTGAGACCTGTGAAACAAAGAGTTCACTTTTGGCAGAAAAGCCGGGTCTAACCTGAGGGTGACACGGTCAGCGTGAATAATGCACAAGTCAAAGGGGGTTTTGGTCAGTGCTCTGAGAACGAGCGGAAGGTCCCACGTGGGAAATCTGTGAATAACAGGTGGATGCAAGTTTGAAGCCCCTTTTAGGAAGCTCCTCACCTGAGGATGCTGTGCCAAGGAAACTGCGGAGTGCCTAGTCAAGATGGTGGACAAGGGAGCTACTTAGCAGCAAAGAGTGTTGGGCGCCAACCCCTTGTCCAGGCCTTATTGCAGAAAGTCAAGAAGCTGTGGAATGGTAGTTGAAGCTGCAACCACACCATGAGAGCAGCATCAGGAGTTGAAGGCGACTCAGGTGGCGTCATAGATGCGCGTTGTCGAGGGACGCCACGATGCCTGGATGGTGGCGATGACCTTTTCAGATAGATTGTCCTTTCTCAAGAGGTCCCCCTCAAGGACCAGATGGCTAGCTGGAGCCAGCCGGGATCCGGATGAATTGGCTTAGGGACAGAAGGTCCAGCGGTATCTTCCAAGGTCTGCGGATCGAGAGGCTGACCAGGTCTGCATACCAAGATCTCCTGGGCCAATGCAGAGCTATGAGAAGGACTTCTGCTCCTTCGTCCAGGATCTTCTGAATCACCTGAGAGATGAGCGGGAGCTGAGGAAAGGCATACAAAAGGCCTCTTGGCCAACGGCAGCGCAGGGCATTGGTCCCCTCCACTTGCGGAATGCTGTACCTTGAAAAGAATCTCGGGAGTTGGTCATTTGCTGGACTGGCGAAGAGTTCGATCACTGGAAGACCGAACCGGAGCGTGATCTGATGGAAGGAGTCCGGATGTAGACGCCATTCTGTGTTGTCTATGGTCGTCCGGCTCAGCCAGTCTGCATGCACATTGTCCACTCCGGAGATGCGGTCTGCCTTGAGTGAGGCCAGATGACATTCCGTCCATCTCCCTAGAGATTCTGCCTTCAACATGAGGGTTCTGGACTTGGTGCCCCCTTGGCGGTTGATGTGGGCCTTCGTTGCTATGTTGTCCGTCAGGAGCAACACGTGATGGCTCACAATATCCTTTTGAAAATGGCGCAGTGCTAGCCTAGCCACGCACAGCTCCAAGAAGTTGATGCTCTGTGTCACCTCTCTTTGTGACTACCTCCCTTGTGTCACCTGTTCTTGAAATTGGGCACCCCATCCCTGGAGGCTCGCGTCAGTCATGACCACCAGCCGTTCTGGTTCCCTGAAGAAGCAACCTTTCATCACTGCCCGTGACTCACACCAGCGAAGTGACCGCTTTACCTTCAGAGGAAGCTTGATCGGCCTGGGAGAGTTGCTGTCCTTCGCTCTTTGGATGGGAAGAAAAAGCCACTGGAGTTCGTGAGTGTGTAGCCGAGCCCAAGGCACTATGTTGATGCAGGAGATCATGAGGGCCAGCAGCTGGGACAGGGAGATGATGGGGCTCAGCTGTTTCACTCTTATTGTTAGCAGAATACTTTGTTTTTAATATGAATAAGGGTACATCTATGGACTGAATGTACAGCTGTAGAGATTAATTTGACTTTGCACTTAATAACTTTAGTTAGATTGTCGGTGGCGCAATAATGGAAGAAGGAAGACTTGCCTATAATTCAAGAAAGGACACTGAAAGTCACAAATTTAGCTGAGAGGGCTAAAATACCTGCATATCTTAAGCACTAATTAAACGAGAGATATAAATGAGACTGGGCAAAATGGACTCATTATATACAAAATAAATATGGATAAACGAGATGGGGAAAAATGGATTGATTATATTCAAAATAAATACG